TCCCACCACCGTCATCCAACACTCTCGCACCACCGTCACCCAACACTCCCCCACCACCGTCACCCAACACTCTCCCACCACCGTCAACCAACACTCTCCTACCACCGTCACCCAACACTCCCCCACCACCGTCACCCAACACTCTTCCACCACCGTCACCCAACACTCTTCCATCACCGTCAACGAACACTCCCCCATCACCGTCACCCAACACTCTCCCACCACCGTCACCCAAGAATGGTGAGTGAGTGCCTCATGACACGTCTCCACCGTGGCTGCTAGTGGGTATACTAGCCACCTTGTGTCACGTCTCCACCCGTGGCTGCTAGTGGGTATACTAGCCGCCTTGTGTCACGTCTCCACCCGTGGCTGCTAGTGGGTATACTAGCCGCCTTGTGTCATGTCTAGCCGCCCGGTGACACGTCTCCACCCGTGGCTGCTAGTGGGTATACTAGCCACCTTGTGACTCGTCTCCACCCGTGGCTGCTAGTGGGTATACTAGCCACCTTGTGACACGTCCCCACCCGTGGCTGCTAGTGTGTATACTAGCCGCTTGGTGACACGTCTTCACCGTGGCTGCTAGTGGGTATACTAGCCACCTTGTGTCACGTCTCCACCCGTGGCTGCTAGTGTGTATACTAGCCGCCTTGTGACTCGTCTTCACCGTGGCTGCTAGTGGGTATACTAGCCGCCTTGTGCCACGTCTCCACCCGTGGCTGCTAGTGTGTATACTAGCCGCCTTGTGACTCGTCTTCACCGTGGCTGCTAGTGGGTATACTAGCCACCTTGTGTCACGTCTCCACCCGTGGCTGCTAGTGTGTATACTAGCCGCCTTGTGACTCGTCTTCACCGTGGCTGCTAGTGGGTATACTAGCCACCTTGTGTCACGTCTCCACCCGTGGCTGCTAGTGTGTATACTAGCCGCCTTGTGACTCGTCTTCACCGTGGCTGCTAGTGGGTATACTAGCCACCTTGTGTCACGTCTCCACCCGTGGCTGCTAGTGTGTATACTAGCCGCCTTGTGACTCGTCTTCACCGTGGCTGCTAGTGGGTATACTAGCCGCCTTGTGACACGAATCCACCGTGGCTACTAGTGAGTGTTCTTGCCGCCTTGTGACACGTCTCCACCCGTGGCTGCTCGCGGCTCAGTCACGTTAGTTTTTAATACATGATTTATTAAAAAAAAATATTAGGTAATATGCGTATTGTTTTTAACTATGTGTTTGTATTGTACAGAACATAAGCGATGCGGTGCTGAAGCTGGACACCCCGACGCCTGACGACCTGGTGCAGACTGTCACTTACATCGCCACCGTCAACAGCGGCATGGGGCTGGTAAGTTCTCAAGTGTTCTCGGAGCTTAGTGCTGTGTGCTTAGAGCATGTGCCTCTCAATATTACTGCTGAGAACACCACCATCATTTGACAACCAGTATGGTCAGTAGTTTTGGCTGGAGGATGACACCTTAACAACATGAGACTATAGAACACTGCTGATGATATATTTGGTCATCAGATTAATATATATATATATATATATATATACATATATATATATATATATATATATATATATATATATATATATATATATATATATATATATATATATATATTTGTGTTCCTCACGTGTGCCCCAAAGAATGAGGTGATTTGGTAAAATGCTATGCCCAAGATTACTATCCGAGTGCCGGCGGTGGGGTGGTTCAAATAGCCTCGGCTATCACCTCATTTTGTCCGGTCGAGATGGTCAAGTGGATTAAGGCGTCTTGTACATACCAGTTGCGTGGCTCCTGGGAGTATGGGTTCGAGTCACTTCTGGGGTGTGAGTTTTCAGTTGCATATTGTCCTGGGGACCATTCAGGCTTGTTCGCATTTGTGTTCCTCACGTGTGCCCCAAAGAATGAGGTGATTTGGTAAAATGCTATGCCCAAGATTACTATCCGAGTGCCGGCGGTGGGGTGGTTCAAATAGCCTCGGCTATCACCTCATTTTGTCCGGTCGAGATGGTCAAGTGGATTAAGGCGTCTTGTACATACCAGTTGCGTGGCTCCTGGGAGTATGGGTTCGAGTCACTTCTGGGGTGTGAGTTTTCAGTTGCATATTGTCCTGGGGACCATTCAGGCTTGTTCGCATATATATATATATATATATATATATATATATATATATATATATATATATATATATATATATATATATATATATATAAATATATATATATACTCGTTTATATATATGTCTGACATGCGTTTGAAACAATTCAAGAGGCCACGATCTATTAGGTTACCCGATACTTTGGTGCACAAATAAGCATCGCTTATGGGTGTTACTGGTGTGTCGGACACTTTCACATTGTCAGGCCTCTGGTACCTCTCAGCTGTAAGGCACTGTTCACTGGTTTATTATCTTTGATATTACCTATATATAATATCTTCATGATACTAGAAGGTGGTGCAGTATCTTCAGCCTTCTCCAGCAGTCAGGATGGCTTGGCTCTGCTGAGCTTGTCACTGTGACCAAACATACTCATGTGAACTCAAAGAAAAAACACTCATAATATAATGACATTTTCATCTGACATTTCCCGTTGACTGACTGTAATTGTAAAACTTTTTTACTAGTTGTAATGAAAATATAATTCAGCCGAGTCTTTCATCCTGAACTCAGTGAACTGCAGTACAAAAGAGAACCTCATCTTAGATACTGTTCGGTGGAAGTTTCAAGCATGGAGAACATTTATGAAATAGAACAGTTTCCTTATGCTTCACTCACCCAGGTGACGCCACAAACACTCACCCAGATGACGCCACAAACACTCACCCAGATGACGCCACAAACACTCACCCAGATGACGCCACAAACACTCACCCAGATGACGCCACAAACACTCACCCACATGACGCCACAAACACTCACCCAGATGACGCCACAAACACTCAACCAGATGACGCCACAAACACTCACCCAGATGACGCCACAAACACTCACCCACATGACGCCACAAACACTCACCCACATGACGCCACAAACACTCACCCAGATGACGGTACAAACACTCAACCAGATGACGGTACAAACACTCAACCAGATGACGCCACAAACACTCACCCAGATGACGCCACAAACACCCAGATGACGCCACAAACACTCAACCAGATGACGTCACAAACACCCAGATGACGCCAAAAACACTCACCCAGATAACGCCACAAACACTCACCCAGATGACGCCACAAACACTCAACCAGATGACGCCACAAACACCCAGATGACGCCACAAACACCGAGATGATGCCACAAACACCCAGATAACGCCACAAACATCCAACCAGATGACGCCACAAACACCCAGAAAACACCACAAACACCCAACCAGATGATGCCACAAACACTCAACCAGATGACGCCACAAACACTCAACCAGATAATGCCACAAACACTCAACCAGATGACGCCACAAACACTCAACGAGATGACGCCAGAAACACTCAACCAGATAACGCCACAAACATCCAACCAGATGACGCCACAAACACCCAGAAAACACCACAAACACTCAACCAGATGATGCCAAAAAACACTCAACCAGATGATGCCACAAACACTCAACCAGATGATGCCACAAACACTCAACTAGATGATGCCACAAACACCCAACCAGATAACGCCACAAACACTCAACCAGATGACGTCACAAACACCCAACCAGATGACGGCACAAACACCCAGATAACGCCACAAACACTCAACCAGATGACGCCACAAACACCCAGATAACGCCACAAACACTCAACCAGATGACGCCACAAACACTCAACCAGATGACGCCACAAACACCCAACCAGATGACGCCACAAACACCCAGATAACGCCACAAACACTCTACCAGATGACGCCACAAACACCCAGATAACGCCACAAACACTCAACCAGATGACGCCACAAACACCCAACCAGATGACGCCACAAACACCCAGATAACGCCACAAACACTCAACCAGATGATGCCACAAACACTCAACCAGATGATGCCACAAACACTCAACCAGATAACGCCACAAACACTCAACCAGATGACGCCACAAACACCCAACCAGATGACGCCACAAACACCCAGATAACGCCACAAACACTCAACCAGATGATGCCAAAAAACACTCAACCAGATGATGCCACAAACACTCAACCAGATGATGCCATAAACACTCAACCAGATGACGCCACAAACACTCAACCAGATGATGCCACAAACACTCAACCAGATGATGCCACAAACACTCAACCAGATGATGCCACAAACACTCAACCAGATGATGCCACAAACACTCAACCAGATGATGCCACAAACACTCAACCAGATGATGCCACAAACACTCCTACTCATATGGGCGTTCACCTGCGGGATCTGACTGGGAATATTAGTGTTATAGTTTTCTCCAGATCAATAGCTTACCTGGGTCCATCAGTATACCACAGGTGGTCTGATTACTTACTGGTGTTCATCAGCACAACACAGGTGGTCTGATTACTTATTGGTGTTCATCAGCACAACACAGGTGGTCTGATTACTTATTGGTGTTCATCAGCACAACACAGGTGGTCTGATTACTTATTGGTGTTCATCAGCACAACACAGGTGGTCTGATTGCTTTCTGGGGTGCTACTAGTACACCCAAGATGATATAATAGTTTATTGGGGTCCAGCAGTACACTACAGAGATCTGATAGCTTACTGGGGTCCACCGGTACACCACAAGTGGTCTGATTGCTTATTGGTGTTCACCAGCACATCACAGGTGGTCTGATTGCTTACTGAGGTCCCCCAGTTCACCACAGGTGGTCTGATAGCTTACTGGTGTCCACCAGTGCACTACAGGTGATCTGATAGCTTAAAGGGGTCCATAAGTACACAACAGGTGATCTGATAGCTTACTGGGGTCCACCAGTACACTACAGATGATCTGATAGCTTCCTGTGGTCCAACAGCACACCACAGGTGGTCTGATTGCTTACTGGTGTTCAGCACACCACAGGTGGTCTGATTTCTTTGTGATGTTCACTAGCACACCACACCATCTCATATCATTCTTGGATCTATTTCGCCTTAAGTTGAGACAATTCTATAAGTTGAATCAAAGCTATATTCCTTATTAATAATGTTTCTAAAACTGTTTACAAAATGCCATGAATGGATGACACTGAGAGCGAGAAGTATATGTCACTACTCAAACCAAATTGATTTGATGAAACTTTTTAAATTGGAAAATTAATAATTCCTTAAGTACAAATATCAACATTAATAGTTGAGAAACTGTAATTTCTGGGGGAGTCCTTTGTGGCCTTGAATATCTAACTTTTCTGAGTGAGTTATGTCTGAAAGATGCCATCAGTCGCAGAGTTTTTTTGGCCTACAGGAGACCAGGATGTAGGAACCTGATCTCATCGAGGCGCAGGGAGCAGTGTCTTTTATATTTTTATATGTCACCACGAGGGAAGGTACCAAGAAAGTCAGCGAGACACAGCACACCACAGTTGTTTATTTACTTTACCTGCAGACTATGAGATGGCGAAATAACTTCACCAAACTATGTAAACAAACGACCGAAAATGATGTGAACTAGTGCTTGCTTGTTCGCCCCGCCCTTCTCCTCATTTGAGGACGAGGAGGAGGAAGCCTACGGCTCGCAGGCTGCTTCATCCTCAGGCATTTCAATGTATTCATTGCTGTAGCTATGAATACAATGAAATGCCAGGGAGGAGGAAGCACCTCAGGTAACAGAACGAAGAAGAGATGGCCGGTGTAGAAAACCGGCCCAGGGACGCTGAGTTCCAGAAACAAGAACCTAAACTTCTGGGCCTTTGTTCCCAATTCAGATGGGGGACCCCCGAAACTGTCCAAGCCAAATCTCGAACTAAACTCTAACCTGACCCGGAAGCCCTCAGTAGCCTCGGGGCCATAAGCTTAAGAAGGGCGAACACCACCCAAAAAAAAAAAAAAAAAAAAAAAGGGAAGGAAGAGGTGTGGCAGAACCCAAGGTCGAAGTGACCAACACCTCCAATTCCAAGACCCTGAAAACCAACCGAGGCATCCAATTGGGCACGCAACCCGAACAGCTGTAGCCTAGAGAAATGAAAAGGAAAAGCGAGCACTGTTTGGGAAGACGAACATTAACAGAAGGTCTGACGAAAAGAGAGCGGTAACAGAAACACACCCAGCACGACTCGGGGTCGAAGGTGTCAACAAACCAACAGGCAAAGCGAGTGAACGTTACCCTGTGCCACATGCAATGTACACCTAAAGCTAATATTTCAAGGTGTACACCTGTACACCTTGAATTAGCGAGGGCCATGTCAATGGACCCTCGGTGGTCCTTTTGGGTATACCCATATGGGCCACCGAACCCACTAAGGATTTCTTGGGCCTGAAACCTTGAGCTAACTAGGAAATCTAGGCACTGGGATGCGATGCCGGTTCTCTCTAGTAAATTAACCCAGTCTAGACCACTCTGCTAGAAAACCTAATTCAGCGCACTGTAGTGCAGCTGCGGATACCCAGTGACGCCCTACCAGGCAAAGACGTTCCAAACTGGGAAATGACAGAAGGTGAAAACCCCACACTCTCTCCAGGGCGAAAACTACCATAAGCGAGGCAGATCTCCCATGAAATGTCCCCAAACACTCCTGGAACAAGCACCCTGGCAGTGCAAGGGAAGCACTAGGGATGGCACGAGAAAGAGAAGCCTAAGCAGATACAGCTCCAAGTGCATAGAACTCCTGCCCCACGCACACTGAAAGTGGAAGGAGCCACCACCAAGGCAAAACAAATTCAATAAAAAGTCGCAGCAGCCTGACACATCAGAGGAGAACTGAGGGTGGAGGGGCCGGTGTGCCACGGGCTGCCCTCTCCTCCCCCCCAAACGAGGAGAAAGGCTGCACTAATTCATAAAATTTTTGGTCTTTTTTTTTTTACATATTTTGGTGGTAGTTTTTTAGCCATTTAAGTCTGCAGGTATTTCTGGGTGCCTTCCCTCATGGTGACTTATAAATGCCACTGCTCCTTGCTCCTCGGTGAGACAAGTTTCTAGCTCCTGGTCTCCGGTAGGCCAGAGAACTCCGCGACTGATACCAACTTTTAGACATTACACACAATAGGGGCCTGACGGCTGAGTGGACAGCGCTCAGGATTCAGTTCCCAGGGTCCGGCAATCGATCCCCGGCGGAGGCGGACACATACGGGCAGAGTTTTTGACCCAGATGTCCATGTTCACCTAACATTAAATAGGTACCTGGGAGTTAGACAGCTGCTATGGGTTGCTTCCTGTGTGTGTGTGTGTGTGTGTGTGTGTGTGTGTGTGTGTGTGTGTGTGTTTACAAGTTGTGTTTTTGCGGGGGTTGAGCTTTGCTCTTTCGGCCCGCCTCTCAACTGTCAATCAACTGTTTACTAACTACTTTTTTTCCCCCCACACCACACACACACACACACACACACACACAGGAAGCAGCCCGTGACAGCTGACTAACTCCCAGGTACCTATTTACTGCTAGGTAACAGGGGCACTTAGGGTGAAAGAAACTTTGCCCATTTGTTTCTGCCTCGTGCGGGAATCGAACCCGCGCCACAGAATTATGAGTCCTGCGCGCTATCCACCAGGCTACGAGGCCCCCTGTGTGTGTGTGTGTGTGTGCGTGTGTGTGCGTGTGTGTGTACTCACCTATTTGTGTTTGCGGGGGTTGAGCACTGGCTCTTTGGTCCCGCATAGTCTCGTGCGTGTGTGGGTGTGTGTGTGTGTGGGACAAAACCCAAACCACTTGATTGATTGGCAGTTGAGAAGCGGGCCCAAAGAGCCAGAGCTAAACCCACGCAAGCACAAGTAGGTGAGTACATCGGAGATGTTAAATAAAGTACACGGAGCCTCAAGGGCTCCCCCACAGAAAAGGCATTAAGCAAAACGAGTCTTAGATTATAAATGTGTGTGAATATAAATAATTTAATTAATTCATTAGTAATAGTAATATAGTTTTCTTAGAATTATAGTTGTAAGACTTACTGTATAATTCCCTTAGAGTCAAGACAAGAGCGGCAACCGTCAGAATGGCAAGTGTGTGGTACCTTGGTCCGACGTCCAGAACGCTGACTCACTAGACTATTCTGTCTTGGTCTCTGACGGTAAGTCTCCACTGGCAGTCATCTTCCTGTCTCACTGATGGTGTGTTATAGTGACTTTACTGTGTTTATGGTGGTGTTATGGTGACTTTACTGTGTTAATGATGGTGTTATTGTGACTTTACTGTGTTAATGATGGTGTTATAGTGATTTTACTGTGTTACTTTACTGCAGCCTAACATATGAATCACTGCTTGGTTGATCAGGTGTCCTTTGGAGGTGTTTATCGAGTTCTCCCTTGAACACTGTGAGTTCTTCCTTCAACACTGTCTGTTTACCCAATTTTGGATACTCGGGGTTCTGTTCCTCATGAATAAGGTGGTCTGGTAGGGCTGGGGCCATGCGTGGTGTTTGTGGGGAAATTCCAGGCAGCTAATCTCTCTTTTTCAAATTGATTTAATAAAATAAAGTTATGTCTTATTTATTTTCTTAGTAAGTAAGTATTAATTAAGTGGACTGTATATACTGGTAAACTGCCTGAAATCTTCTTACACACTATTGGGAGGGACAATTGGTAGCCTAAACCACTTTGTTATGGCTCCTTCTTAAACTACCAATTGTTTACCTTTAAAACTATTATTTCAGTTATTTCATTATATAGTGTACCACATATGGTGGTCTAAACTACTTATAATATAATAATTAATTATAACTACTGCTACTAAAATCATAAATGGCTTAGCTATGCCAGTAGAATGGGCCTAGTAAGGCGTGTAGGTGTAGCCTCAGAATGGGTGTGGCCCTGCCTCTTTGTGCCACGTAATGGCGGCTGGTGGGAAGGACAAGGCTTGGCAAACAAGTAGTTAATTATGTGTGTGAACCAACTGTCTGCTCTACTTCTTGAAGCTCCTCTCACAATTTACCTGTATGGGATGCAAGGAATTAATCAAAGTTCCCTAAACATATCAATTACAGGTATGACATGAACTGTGAGGGTTGTAATGGGGTACACGTACAGTGTTTTTGGGTTTCTCCCACGACCTAACCATCTACCCATAAAAATATTAAACAGTGCACTTGAATAATAAACAATACTTGGTAGACGGATACAGTCGTTGTTGTGATGTTGTTAGGCTGTGTTGCTGGTGTTGACACGTAAATGGGGTGTCTAGCTGTATACACCAGTTAGCCAATACAGCGTGGTCGGCTGCTATGGTTGTTGTTGTTGTGTATGTGGACGCCTTCCTCTCTCGGGCAACGCCCTTAACGCTGGTTCCTCACTCAAAGTAATTTTACATTAACAAGGGAACCTAGCTACAATACTTTGTAAATAATTATATTCATTCTTATTGATTACTTTTTTATCAACTCTAGAGACTAAACTAGTCTATTAACAATGTTTCATAATGTAAATATACAATGACTTCCATGACGTCACGGAGTCGATGACGTCACGGAGTCTCCCATTTTCCATCCTGAAGGGAGTACAGACTAGGGGAGACTGTGTTATTTGTGTGTGTGTCGGTTTCCCGACATAATTCCCAGGGGGCAGAACACGGGTCGAAGTCCCGTTAAGGACTGCGATCACTTTATTCTTCTCCCTCAGAATTATAGTGCTGCTTTAATTTGAGTTTACATTGTTGTGCAGCAGTCCGTTGGGGACGTATGTCCCTTACTGGCGTATTGGGTGCTGGAAGTCGTTGTACGTCTTCTTTCCTGGCCAGTTCTAAAGGTACTAATTTCTCTAAAGTTTTGAGAGTAGTGTTGCCTTTGCATTTTACTTTCACTATTCTCAAGATGCCCTGGCTGTCTGGATGAACAGAGACTATTTCTCCTAGAGGCCACTCAGAGAGTGGTCCGTCACTATCCATCAGAACTATGTCACCAGGGTTCAAGTTAATTCTGTTATAGGGATTGTTTGCCCCGTAATGATACTCCCTCAGAGCTGTTAGGTATTCACGAGTCCATACGTCATTCCACCGACTTATCACCCCTGAAAGATGTTTGAAACGTTGAACCAAATCACTCTCTTTGACATATGAAGGATCCTCTGGTTCCTCATCCGTAAGGGACACAAGTGTTTTGAGAGGTCTCCCATACATCAAATGAGCTGGACTTAATGGTTCACGCTGCAAAGCATCATCAGAGAGGTAGGTAAGTGGTCGGTTGTTAACTCGTGCTTCTATTTCTATGATTACTGTTTGAAGCTCCTGAAGGTCAATCTTTTGGCGGTGTAGGGTTTTCCGTAAAGACTGTTTCACCGTACCAACCATCCGTTCATAGAAGCCTCCATGCCATGGTGCTCTGGGAGGTATGAATTTCCAATAGCACTGCCGTTGAGTTAGGGCTGTGCGTACCTTTGGGTGTGTCCAGATTTTCCTCAGGCATGCTTCTCCTGCCACCAAGTTGGACCCATTGTCTGAAATCATTAACTTGGGACAAGATCTACGTGAAGCAAACCTGCGGAAAGCCTGTAAGAATGCTTCGGCACTCATATCGGGAGTCACTTCTAGATGGACTGCCCTTGTTGTGGCACAAGTAAAAAGACAGATATAGGCCTTTACTGGTTTCTTGTCTTTAGTGCCTGTCAGTGTTAGTGCTCCTGTGAAATCTACTCCTGTTGTCTCAAAAGGATGAATATGTACGACTCGTTCCTTCGGAAGTGGAGGAGGGCCAGGATATGGACACACTCTGGCATCGTATCTCCGGCATACAACACAGGATTTGATTATGGACTTTACTGTCTGTCTACCTTGGGGTAGCCAGTACTGTTGTCTTAATTCTGTGAGAGTATCTAATACCCCACCATGCAGAGTGCAGTATTTGTGTATATGTAACACAATTAGTTTGCTTACTATGTGGTGACGAGGGAGCAATATTGGATTTTTTGCTTCCAGATCTATGTCAGCATGTTGTAAGCGTCCTCCGCATCTTATCAAGTTATAATTGTCAGTGTCTAACCAGAGACCCAGATCATGTTGTAGCTTCTTAGGAACATTGTCAATTTCTGTCCCGAATGTGTCGGTCTGAGCTCTTTTAACCCAGTACCTTAAGGCACTAGGGAATTTATGCTTGATTCCTATTTTCTTTAGGAAATCAAACACTACTTGGGTGACACCTACAAGTTTGTTCAGTTCAGAGTACCGAGCAGGATCAATTACCAAAGTCCGAGGTAGTTCCGGGTTCTCAGTGGGAACAGTGACATTGGTCACAATGACTTGTGGCTTTTGTTCAGGCCACTGGTCGCTGATTAGCCACTGAGGTCCATTGAACCACATCTCTGCCTTTGTTAATTGCCGTAAAGTCAGGCCTCGGGAGAGATAGTCAGCTGGATTCTCTTTAGTAGGTACATATCTTAGTTTATACCCTGCTGACAACTCTCGTATTTCCTTAACGCGGTTACTCACGTAAGGATTCTTACTGTTATTGTTTTTAACCCACTGTAGCACTGCCTCATTATCTGACCATACTACTGTTTCTGTAAAGTGGATGTGGCTTAAGGCCTTGATCAGATAATGAGCCAATCTTACACCTAGCAGTAAGGCTGTTAATTCCAGTTGTGGCAGTAATCTTTTCTTTAAAGGTGCCACTCTGGCCTTTGATGTGAGCAAATTGGCTTGCCCATTTGAGACCAGGTAAGCTACTGTACCATAAGCCTTTCCTGAGGCATCACAAAATACATGCAGCTTAATTGGTTCCTTTTCATTTACTGTTGTGTTCCTAGGGAACTTGACAGACTCTAAGATACTTAAATCTTTCACTAACCCTTGCCATTTTTCCTGTAGGGCAGGTGTTAGAAGATCATCCCAGCCTATCTTTTGTTGCCAACATTCCTGTATTATCATCTTCCCATTAATTAGTATTGGACTTAATAAGTCTAATGGGTCGAAGGGTTTGCTGACTTGTGATAGCAATTTTCTCATTGTTAAGTTAGTGGTATCTGTCTCCACTGACTTGATTGTCAACTGATCGGTTGTCGTGTTCCATTGGACACCTAGAACCTTTGTCATCTCAGGTACTTGGTAGTCGGGAAATTCAGTTGTGATCAGTTGTTTTAATTTGTCATTGTTAGAGACCCAAGACTGGAGAGGCATATTGGCTCCCATTAATTCTCGATTGGCCTCATGGTATATGTCCAACAGCTTACTTTCACTGTTGGCTGTTCCTTGAAAGTTATCCACATACAGGTTTTCGCTAATTTCTGTCTTGTTCGGGCTATTGGACTTCTTCAAGTGCGTATCCAGGGTAGCTTGAAGCAGAAATGGTGAGCTTGTGGCTCCGAACAAAACAGACGCAAACCGATAAGTGATTATTTCACTGTTTGGATCATTAGGATCCTTAATCCATAGGAACTTTGTGTAGTTCCGGTCTTCTTCTTGAAGACCTACCCTAAGGAATGCCTTGCTAATGTCGGCCGTATATGCATAAGTCCCTATACGAAACTTTAACAGCACGTCATAAAGCCTTTGTGTTAGGCTTGGGCCTGTTTGAAGGCAATCATTTAACGAAACACTATTCTGCCCCATCTTAGCACTGCAATTAAATACTATCCGTAGTGGGGTAGTCGCAGAATCCTTCTGAACATGGTGGTGTGGCAGATAATGTCCTTCCTTTGGGTTATCATTTGTTACAACTTCGATAAATTTGTCATCGATCTGCTTCTGTATTATTTCATGGTACAACTTCAAGTTCTCAGGTTGTCTTTGTAAACGTAACACCTGTGATCTTAATTGATTTTGTGCCATGAAGTAGTTGATGGGTAGCTGAGGGTGATTCAGCTTCCATGGTAACCTGACCCAGTACTGATTATCTCTGTAGATAACTGAGTCTAGGCATTGTTTATAAGTCCAGTCATCATCTGGGCTAGGTTGTTCAGGGACAATGCCGAGAGTTGCCAGGTCCCATAACTTATATACTGGGGGATCAAGCTCATCCTCGGAAATGTCTCTGAGTTGCAGTGGAGACTGTTCTCCTAGTCATGCAACCATTACTGTGTTGGCATGTTTGTGATCCACAGGTGCGGGTTGTTTTAGCCGTAATACTGGGCCTGTTAATAAATAGCC